AGAGTAATAAGATAAGCCTTCGAAAAGAGCGGGAAACTTAAGTTGCAATTCAATATAAACCACGAGATCCAGTCCTCTCACCTTTTTCTCAAATTTGGCAATGTTTTTCGCCGGGATGTCTTTAATGTGCGGGGCACTCTCCCAAATTTTGCATTTCTTTGCGGCTTCTCCTAGAATAAACTGAAAAAAAAAAATGAAATTGTTTACAAATTGTTTACAAATTTTAAGCCAGTGTGCTAGATATTTTGGCCTAGTGATTTTTAAAGTAATTACATAAAGTAATATTAGCATTATTTGGTCCTCTTAACTTTCATCGGTGCTACTAATCATACTTAATGTGTGAGTCTAGATCAGTTGTGGAATTAAATGTTTTTACATTTCACATTTTGAAATTAGAATTTCACACGTGGATTTTGTCTTTATGTAATTTCACACCTGTTTCACATGCTTGTGATGAGTTATTTCCATTCTACAGCAATTTCACATTCATGTGAGTAGTGGTATGGGCTAGTCCAGTACAGATTTCACAGGTATTGTGATGCAGGTGAAAAGGTTATGGAAAGGAGTTCTATTGTTTTCTCGAGTTTGACGTATCCATGGTAACCAGAAGCCCCACCCCTATGATGTCATTAATCTCCTTTCCATGTTGACTGAGTAAAACGCCTGGTTTCTAAAATAGAGCACACACATTGTAATCAGGATTTTAATACTAAACTTTACTTTAAAACGAACACAGAGTCTGATATTTCATTTGTCAACTTTTATTGAATAATAACAACACGAACTCCCAAGGGAGAATCGATTACAATTTTAACTTTTTCTTCGCCTGCACGATTCTTTTCACAATCTTTTCAGTCACCATTTTGTTGCCGGGTAACCTCGTTATGGCCTTGATCATCTTTGTATCTACTTTCCACTTGTCTTGCAAATTCTTAGGGCGACTGTAATCGATGTCGTGTTGTTTGGCAATCTTGTCCAGTCGGTTGATGCCCGGGTCTCCTCATTTCAGTCTCTTTGCCAAATT